TTTTTAATAATAATAATAATAATAATAATAATAATAATAATAATAATAATAATAATAATAATAATAATAATAATAATAATAATAATAATAATAATGTGTTAAGTTAGAAGGTGAGCATTGCCCAAGCAGGCATTTTTCAGACTGGGGAGAGATAAGATTACCTTTTTGGCATAAAGAACAATTTTCTGGAATTGACTCGTTTCTGCAAAACACTGGATGACTTTATTGGGGACGTTTGCCCGGAGATAAACGCTCAAGGCAAGGGTTGGGTCAGCCGCCTTCACCAAGTCTCCCAGCTCTTCGGAGCACTCCAGCTGAAACAAAAAAAAGTTCGGTTTCGGAAATCAACGCCAACCCAAGGGTTTAAAAAACTCCCGGCTGCTTGACAGACGGGGGCAACTGGATCAGCAGTTTACTGACATCGTGCCGGCCTCCGAAAATACTTTCACGCCCCAGCCACGTCCAAATCACCACAACTGTTACTGTTTGGCACGAGAGGGCGGCTTGAATTTCAGGGGCCAACTATGCTGCCCAAGGAAAAGATGATTGCTACTGTGAGCTGGACGACTGTGCCAACTTCATCTAAAGCAGGACACACAAATACACACACGCACACACAATGTGGTGGGATGTAGTTAAGAGGATGGAGGGTTCCCCCCCCCCCCGGAAGGCAAAGAGCGCTTAGAATGCCTGGTGGGCAGGAAGAGGGCAAAGGTTGGACCCTCCTTAGCAATTCATGAAATTTATCTATCGTTATGGCAGATAACTGCTTTAGTCTGGCAAGATTCTGTCTCTAAGTTCAGAACAATATAGGAACTACTCAGAAGTAATTCCATGTGATCCTTCTCAGTGCTCCGAGTCTGACGTATCCAAAGCCTTGGGTGAAGCCACTCTGCTTTCAAGCTGAATTTTACCTGTACGAACGTACGGCTAACTTTATTGTCACTTTAAACGTACCCTAATCGGCACACATTAATATGAAATTTCATTGCATACAGGTCTCAAAAGGATCACTGCCTCCAATATACACTACATCAGGGATCGGCAAACCACGGCTCTGGAGCCGCATGTGGCTCTTTCATCCCTCTGCTGCGGCTCCCTGCTGCCCGTTGGCTCCACAATTGATAGGGCTTTCGGTTAGGACCGGCAGAGGAAAAAGGACACCGTGCTAGGAGGAGACTCTATTGGGGGGGGGGGGGAACCGGACTTCCGGTCGCAAATGGAGAGTGAGACCTGAAGAGAGAGAAGCATGAATCTCACCTATGCACAGACAGGAGACAAATTGGCAAGATTTGTTTCTCTCACCATGTACATGTGTACATTAAAACTAAACTGTCTTCTTTCTTCATGTGATATATGTGGGTATATGCATAATTATGTATGTATGTATATACAGTATCTGTCTGTCTATCTGTTGTCTATCCATCTATCCATCTCATCTATCTCTATCTTCATTCATCCACCCATCTCATCACTCTCTCTCTCTCTCTCTCTCCATCCATCTATCTATCTCTATCTTCATTCATCCACCCATCTCATCACTCTCTCTCTCGATCTATCCATCCATCCATCCACCCATCTCATCTATCTATCTCCCTATCTCCCCCCTCTTTGTGTCCGTCCATCCATCAGTCCATCCATCCATCTCATCTATCTCTACCTTCATTCATCCACCCATCTCATCACTCTCTCTCTCTCTCGATCTATCCATCCATCTATCTATCTCTATCTTCATTCATCCACCCATCTCATCACTCTCTCTCTCGATCTATCCATCCATCCATCCACCCATCTCATCTATCTATCTCCCTATCTCCCCCCTCTTTGTGTCCGTCCATCCATCAGTCCATCCATCCATCTCATCTATCTCTACTTTCATCCATCCACCCATCTCATCACTCTCTCTCTCGATCTATCCATCCATCTATCTATCTACCTACCTACCTATCTATCTCCCCCCTCTCTATGTCCATCCATCCGTCCATCCATCTCTCTCGATCTATCCATCCATTCATCCATCTATCCATATCTATCTATCTATCTATCTAT